TGTGTGTAACAAATGCATTCATGAGAGAATCACTCCATTTTTACGTTACAAAATAAAAAAAAATGAAAACTTGCTGTATCATGGACTGAACTTGAAGACGATAATAAGTGAAAATCGAGCAAAATAAGCGATTATGTTCAAGAAAAAGCTATAAACGGGTAACAGGGAGGTAGAGGAGACACAATGCTTAAATCAAAATGTCTCGAGTGCCTCTCTACATGCTTTAGTGAGAGAAAGAAAGAGAAAGAAGTCAAGCAAAAACAGACCCTTAATTTTGCTGCTTAACACTTCCTTCTCTATCCCTCTCTCTAAAAAATCTCTCACTCTCTCGGATTCAATGTGAAGATGAGGGAAAAAGAGAGCAAAAATGCTTCAAGAAAACCCTAATTTTGAGGGCTTCTTCTCTCTCCGCTCTTAAGACTTATCTCGCTATCTGCATGCTTGACTTGCAAAAAGCTCCAACAAAAAGCGGAATAAGTAGAGAGAAAAAAGGCTTAAAAGTGTTTGTTTCTGCTCAGACAAGAGAAAAGTAGAGAGAGAGAGATAAACTGTGAATGAAAGAAAGAGAGAACGAAGATAATACCCGCAATACTATGTGGAGTCTTCGAAAACCACATATACATACGACGAAAAAGGCACAGAGAAAAGGTTGAGATCGGTTGACTCTCTCTCAGTATTCTCTCTCTCTAAGTAAACATATCTTTTTACCGAAATTTTCTTCGTAAACAGTGAAAAATGTGACTTTCTCTTAGAAGGCGTCTGAGCCTTTTTTTTTTTTTAAATGTATTTTAAAATAATAGATTGAAAAAAAAATGTAATTAAAAAATAAAAAAATATTTTTAATTTATGTGTAATATTATTTTAATGAATAATATGTAATTGAAAAGAGGAGATAAAAATGTATTTGGAGAAGAATAAGAATAAAAAAAAGCCTTAATTTGTCCAGAGCTGCTGCAGATCCCGGGTTTAAAACCTGGGATTGGCTCCAGGGCCGAGGTGTTGATTTGGAAACACGCGGGGCCCGCACTTTTTGCATCGAGGGTCGAGGTGGCTCCAAACCTGAGATTTTATCCCGAGTTGAGCAGCATTATTCTAATTCGTCTTCAGTGTTGAAAAATGTGATAATTTGAATCAGATTTTACAAACATAAAAGGAAAAGACAGAGTGTGATCAGATGAATAAGATTTGTTGCTTTATTTTTCTTCACTACCCCCACCATAAAAAATCCGATCCACACGTGCATGTGGTAAAATTTACTTATCCAATCAAATCACGACATTTCAAATTTTAAACCACTCAAATTAGCATAAGTTGGACATTAATCCATTCATTCTCTCTATGACTCAATGTGCATCCTGTCCCTCCCCCAAGAAATACCATCACATATGAACACATGATAAGATTTACTTTTCCAATCAAATCGCAACTCTTGAAAATTATGAGCCATTCAAATCATGACAATTTGAAACGCCCACTCCCTCTTTTCTTTATAAAACTCACTAGCGTTCTCATGCTCATCTCACCCTGCTCGAGAAATTCAAACCTATGTGGAAAGGTTTATTTATCAAGTCAAATAATGTTATCTCAAATTTTGAACCACTAAAGTCATGAGAAGTCAATGAATTTTCCCACTTTTTTCCTATGTGCCTGTTTGGTTTTGATTGAAATATGATTTTAATCTAAATGAAAGTCAAACAATCAATATTAAACTCCTGTTTGATATCCATTTTCCCCAAAATTCATTTTTCTCTTCTTTTTAACTACACATTTTTCAATAAAATAATATTACACGCAAATCTAAAAAAATTCTTATTTCTTAACACATTTTTATCAATCAAAATGCATTCTCACTATGAAAATGGGAAACAAATCGGCTCTAATTACATCTTTTGTGGGTCCCA